GACATAGATGATATGTGTTGGACGGTCAAATAGTGAAAATGTACAAAATAACTTACAATAACTATATGTATATAGTTTTTAGCAAACTGGGATCAACCGACTAATCTTTGGAGACATGTCCATTACTGTCAAACATAATCGATTACTCCTAATGAGAATTAGATATCTATTTCGTATGGCCACACAAACAAGTTTATTCAAGATGATAAGTTTCCAATTAGAACGTTTAGACTATGATTAACCCGGCGGGTTTTTAAGGTGGGATTCTTAGTTTCGGCTAAGAACCGTTTTTAGTTTTTAATAAAGAAAAGTTAAGAACCGTATCTTAAATAAGACATATAAAAATCGATTTTTAGACAAAAAAAAATGTAAAAATGTCAAATAATAAATTGAGAATCCCGATTAATCTTGTACTTAGTGCTTAGTACCTTTCCAAGTCTGCCGTACAATTTGATCAAAACACTTGTGTAATTTTTTTGTGTGTTGTTCTGTATGTATATAGCTGAAAGTTTTTATATTTGTTTGATTTATTTACAATGTTGGAATCAATATTTTTAAACCCGACCCGGACATCGAAACGAAATTTTTTTTGGGTCAACGGATTACTGAGTCGACCGCTAACGAACCATGGGTTAGTATATTAATTAATTTTAATACTAAATAATATATTAATGATTTAAATTATAAGAAAATTTTCACATTTTATTTAAAACATAGAAAAATATTTAAATTTGGTCTTTTATTTTTATTTTCATTTTCATTCCACTTTAAAAATATTCCACATAATTTAACTTTATTTAACAACTTTTTGTAAGAATTTAGGAGTTGAACATAACAAATCTTAAATCTCATAAGTCTTAAATATGTATCATTGTTCACTATATTTTCTTTAGAAGGCATAATGCAATGCTCATCAAAATCTAAATATCACAATAAATAATTTAGTCGATATTATATATAATTTTACAAAACTGAATAAGATCAATGAATTTGATTCACAAAAGATATTATTTATTTATAAACATGTAAGATCAAGAAAACAAGATAAAAACATATCATTCATGAAAAGAATAAAAGCAAAAATTTATATGATAGAAGTTAGAACCAGAAAGTTAAAATAAATGTTATTAACTATAAACAAAATGAACAACATTTTATTAAAAGAACTTGAATGAGATTTAAAGTATACTAGATTATGACCCGCGCGGATGCGCAAATTTATTTTTTCGGATGTACTCTATATAATTTAGTTTTATATAGTTTCGAGTTTGTCCAATTCGATTTTATGTTTAAAGAACAATATCAAAACTGTTTTTTTGTATTAATAGCGTTAAGCCGTGTATTATGTAAATCTAATGGTGCAGTGAAAACCCAACCTTGTTTACGTATTTCAATTTTTTTCATAAAAGCTAGGACCATGATGGTATTTTCCACAACTTTTCGTTTATAACAAATGAGTACCGTTGATTAATTCAATACTACTAAATGATTATATTATATCAAATAAAGAATATTCGTTTATTCTTGTTTAATTACGTGGTGAGTGGCGACTATGACTAAACAAGTGATTAACTATATTATCAAATGGAGTACAACAGTAACCAAGAAGAATAAACAAAACTAAAATAATGCTGTGTAATGGATTCCACTACACCACTAATCAATTTTTTTAATAAAAGTTAATTAACTAATATATCGTTATTTATTCCCATCAATGGCTTCATATTCACTTTGAACGATCATATATTCCTAATCCTATTTATTTAGTTTTGCTACTTCAGCTTTTTGTGTTTAAATATTTACAAATAGAGAGAATATCCGTCGCAGCTAATTAAATTAGCCACTGATTAAAATAATATTCAAATTTTCAACGAAAAAAGAACGCAACTATAAATGACGTTGCAATTAGGTCATTGTTGATATGGCATGACATTCCATGCAGAATAAGAATCACTGCAAAGATTGTTTTTGGGCTTAATTATTTTAATTTCTTTGAACAACTTATATGTCAATTTCCATACTGTTGCCTTTTCCAATATTGTTATATTTTACTCTTTAATCTCATATCTGGCGTTGAAATTCGATTCTTTCAAATCTCCAGGCTGTTTTGCAAGGATTCGTCCGTACAAAATTATTGCACTATTCACAAAAAAATTGGGCAAATAACTGCTTTTAAAAGTTTTTAAGAAACAATAAAATCGTCTTTTCTCATCTAATCCAGGTTTTTATTTGATAAGACATCTGATCCATGTTTATCAACTAGTTATTAGGGAATGTAGACTAACATCATAACTAATAATATGATGCAAAAGACACTGTATGGCAGTCTTGCTTATGTTATTAATTAGCAAGAGAACCCTACAATATATTTTTGAGTGGTAACTATCCAAAGACAACATTTAGGCGGAATTTTGTTAATCAACAAATAAATAAATGTTGGAATAGGGGGGAAGTTAGAAATCCCAAACACTATGAAAATAGTTTTTAAATTGTGTGTTGATGTTCAAAAAAAAAAAATTATGTGTGTTGAGCTCGCTTTGTTTTAAACATGTAGTTTAAGACAAGAAAAAAAACATGCAGTTTATGACAAGAATAATTTCCAAAAATAACAATGTGAAGTTTATTCAAAAAACCATTATACTGTACTGTGAAATAGTTGATGTTTTCCACTCTTCTAGCTAGGTATAACTTAGGTTATATTATAAACACGTAAATTAAGCTATATATGCACAAAAGAAAGGTAGATCTTGAGCAAAGATTTGAAACCCGATAGTTAACGGAGTCGTGTTGAAACTTTTTCCAATATAGTATTTGGATTTGGATTTAAAAATGTATACATATTATAACATAACTATAGTATATTTATGGATCGCCTTCACTATCATCGGGTAAATTAAATAAAATAGGGATGGAATAGCTAGTTGTATAGGAGAAAGCAGGTTTTCTTCCTCTGAAATTGAGCAAACTGGTAGGACAAGTCAGCATTTGACAAGTGTCAGTCTTGAATACGACCTTACAGCGTGGCGATTTCTCTCTGACGTGGTCATATGGGGACCACTTTCTCTTCCGACACTTCGGCATGGCATTTTTAATATTCACTTTTCTCCACTCTCGTTTTTTTGAAGCGCGTGTTTCCCCCTCTCTCACGGTTTATTTGTTTTTACATTTGAAGGTTATAATCTTTTCTGAAACATTATAATCTTTTTTCTTGTTACGATGAACTTAAATCTTAATATGCATTTATCACCTTATATAATAATCTCCACTCTCCAGTTTCATTTTGTTGTAAATAACTAAGCTCGTGAACAAAATGAGTAAAAAGAAGCACATGCCTTACTTGGACCTGACTCGGCACGTGCAAACATACTTCGCACGCTTCCCAAAGCGCTCATCCCATAACGAGTCATGGCTGTGGCTTGTGCGTGTGTGGGTTTTAGCCATGGCAGTGGGTCCTAGTAAAAACTGGCACATTGTGTAATTAACCCATTCTACAGTGCTAGTAATGGAAAAAGTAAAAATTTCTGGCCGGGGTATAATACAGAAGCCGACACGTTTGCCTGCCACGATCCAGACATAAGGAAAAATAAAACGATGTGGGTAACGGCACCGTCAAGTTATAAACGGAAACGGGATGAGTTCTAACGTTAGTGCTTCACATGCTCTATGGAGATGGTAGCTCATTTATTACAGTGTGGTCTTTATCGGACGGCTGAGATTGGCTCTCTGTTGTTAAATGCACCGTACTACGTTCTTACAAAATATCCCCGTAATATTTATGTAGCGTAGAGAGAGACCCTTCCTTTTCCTTAAATTTATAGTTGGATATTCTGACCCCAAAAAGATTTTATATTTTGGAAACAAAATTTAATTTCCTTTTTAGAGGTGACATGACAAATAAAGTGTTTCTCATAATTTTTAGTTAATCGAAGTTCAATAAATATAATTATTTTTTTTTCAAAATTTACAATTTATCATTATTACTCATTGTTTTAAAACTTACTTGGCGCTACACGTACTCTTGGATGATATGTAACGCCGAATGAGAAAATCGAAAATTATACGGAGATTAATTACTGATTTATTTTAAGTATAGATAGTACAATTGTGAAGGAATACAACAAAGATCATTTAGGGCATCTCCAACCCCACTTCATTTTTCGCTCTAAAATAGAATTTCTATTTTAGAGTAAAAATGATCTATTGATACTCTATATCCCACTCTATAATAGAGTAAAAAATAAGTTACTCCAAATATAGAGTAACTTATTTTTTTTTTGTTAACCACTATTTTTTACTCTGAAATAGAGTACTAGTAGAATAAACTCCAACTCTATTATAGAGTGATTCTATTCTAAAGTAAAAAATAGTGTAAACTATTGGAGATGGTTAGTGTAGCAGTTGAGACTTCTCTTATTCTTTGAATAGTCCAGGTTCGAGTGTGTGGAAAATCGTTCGGGTTCGAATGTGCGGAAAATCGTTTTGGCTTTTTTTGCTATTGTTTAACTTAAATGAAGAGTAATTCTGTCATTTACATATCCTCTTTCTATTTTTAGATTATTAGGGTTTATGCGTTTTCAAGCTCGACGACTCTTTAACTTTGATGAAATTTAGATTAATTTTTTTCGTTGTTCTTGTTGTTTTCATGCAAATTTCAGAACTCTTATGTATATTAGTCGATTCATAAGCTAAAACAAACAAAAACTTGAGATATTTTGGAGATCCGATATTTTGGCGTTTGATAGCCGTATAACGCTTTTTCGGCGACTTACGGGCTTAGACGGCGCGTTTTTGAACAAGTAATATTACCTAGTAAAAATGTATTCAAAATACAAAAATATATTTGTTTAATTAAATTTTTTTTCAAAAACTTAGGCCATTTTTAAACCAAGCGAGTATAATATTACTGAAGTTACTGTGGGTGGAAATGACAGGTGTTCAGAATCTCAATATATATAGATGTAGTAGAGAGAGAAGGAGAATGTGAATCTCTGCATGATACCGTGAGACTTCCTTCTTCAAAGAAAAAGGAAGCAGCTTTGGTTTGCTGCAGATTGGGGTTAGGTATGGAGAAGTGGATGAAAACGGCGGGAAGTTTGTGATTGTCGACGCAAACCAACACGCATTCTGAGAGGAGAAGACAAAAGATAGAGTATGGGTTTCGTGGCTGAAGCAAAAGGAGAGAAAGATTTATATCCAACAGTGTCCTGAATTACGCTTTGTAAATCAAATCAATATACGGACAATAACCGTCCGTTGGTGTCCTGTTATAAAGTTATTTGCTTTTTATATCCTCCTTTTAAGGGTCTCTTCTTTCTTCTCTCTCTCTCTGTGTTTCTTTCATGGGTGTGCTTAGCTCGTGAAGGGTCTTCTTCCTCTTCTTCTTCTTCTTTCTTGTATTTTCATCTGAGTTCTTCTTCAATGGCTAATGTAGACGGAGATGATCTCAGTAGTTCTTTCTCAAGTGAGCAAAGTTTCAATCTTTACTTAATTTTCTCGGTTTTTAAGAAAAACCCACTTCCAGGATTTTACATTTTCTGTTGGTTTGTTTTGGTATTATTTTCAGGGTGTTATAACGATGAGCTATACACAGAGCTATGGAAAGCTTGTGCAGGTCCATTAGTGGAGGTTCCTCTTGCTGGAGAGAGAGTTTTCTATTTCCCTCAGGGTCACATGGAACAGGTATGTCTCTTTACCAAATTAACCTCCTTTACTTCTTTTAACTCCATTCTCTTTCTGAGTTCTTGTTTTTCTTCTTGCAGCTTGTGGCTTCAACTAATCAGGGAATCGAATCAGAAGAGATACCTGATTTCAAACTTCCTCCCAAGATACTTTGTCGAGTTCTTAGTGTCATGTTAAAGGTTAAAACTTTGAATCATCATAACTCTTGTTTTTTTTTATTCCCCACTAATCTGTTTTTAACATGTTTGGGTGTTATAGGCTGAGCATGAAACAGATGAAGTTTACGCTCAGATCACATTACAACCAGACGAAGATGTAAGTTTTTTAAAGAGAACGAAGACCTTTTTATTTATTGTTATTTGAAAAAAAGTGATTAAGAACTTTTTTTTTCTCATTTGCAGCAAAGTGAACTTACAAGTCTTGATCCACCTACTGTTGAACCAACAAAACAAATGTTCCACTCGTTTGTAAAGATTCTAACAGCTTCAGATACAAGCACTCATGGTGGATTCTCTGTTCTTCGCAAACACGCCACTGAATGCTTGCCTGCCTTGGACATGGCACAAGCTACTCCTACTCAAGAGCTTGTCACTAGAGATCTTCATGGGTTTGAATGGAGGTTTAAGCATATATTCAGAGGTAACCGTCACTAAATCATTGAATATATTTTGGATTAAATGAGACATGAGAGTTGTTTTTCTTTTTTGGGTTTTAGGACAACCTAGGAGGCATCTACTTACAACTGGTTGGAGTACATTTGTATCCGCAAAAAGACTTGTAGCTGGAGATGCCTTTGTGTTCTTGAGGTACTATTACTTCTTCTGAAATTTTAGTAATCTTGTTTTAGTTTTAATGAAACTCATGAAATGCTTTTGTGTGTGTTTTAGGGGTGAGAATGGGGATTTAAGAGTTGGAGTGAGGCGTTTAGCTCGGCATCAAAGCACAATGCCTACTTCGGTTATCTCTAGTCAGAGCATGCATTTGGGAGTCCTTGCTACAGCTTCTCATGCTGTTGTTACCAAAACTATCTTTCTTGTGTTTTACAAGCCCAGGTAACATTTAATGTTCTTTACATGAGACTCTATTATGTTTTATGCCTTGGATTTAAGATAAAAAGTTTCTGATTTCTCAGGATTAGCCAATTCATAGTAGGAGTGAACAAGTATATGGAAGCCATGAAGCATGGATTCTCTCTTGGTACCAGATTCAGAATGAGATTTGAAGGAGAAGAGTCTCCTGAGAGGATGTAAGATTCTATGTTTTTGTAGCTTCTGATCATTACTTCAGTGTTCTTGATTCTGAATATCTTTGAGCTTTTTCAGGTTTACGGGTACTATTGTGGGAATTGGAGATCTATCTTCACAATGGCCAGCTTCTAAGTGGAGATCATTGCAGGTTCAATGGGATGAGCCAACAACAGTTCAGAGACCAGACAGAGTCTCACCATGGGAGATTGAGCCTTTCTTACCATCTTCCCCAGTTTCAACACCTGCTCATCAATCACAACCCAAATGCAAACGGTCAAGACCTGTAGAATCATCATCTGTTCTCACTCCAGCTCCAGCCACTTTCTTGTATAGCGTCCCTCAGAGCCAAGATCCATCAACTGAGAGAAACGTAGGTGGATTCAATGCTGAGACTCTTCCTCCCTCTGCGAATTGTTGCTATAGGTTGTTTGGATTTGATCTCACAAGCAATCCTCCTGCTCAAGACAAGCAAGCTATAGAAGCTTCTGGAGCTGCCAAGTGTCAAGAACCCATCACTCCAAGCGCAGCTAATGAGCCTAAGAAGCAACAAACTTCCAGGACACGAACCAAAGTAATCATCTTTTTAATCACTTTTAAACATTATAAACAAAACTTCTGAAATGTGATTTTTTTAAATTTAAAAGGTGCAAATGCAAGGGATAGCTGTTGGTCGTGCGGTTGATTTAACGCTGTTGAAATCATATGATGAACTGATAAAGGAGCTTGAGAAGATGTTTGAGATCAAAGGACAGCTTCTTACTCGAGACAAATGGGTCGTTGTCTTCACAGATGATGAAGGAGACATGATGCTTGCTGGAGATGATCCATGGAAGTAAGCAACTACTAGTATTAAAGCCATTTTTTTAAAACGTTTTAGCGGTGCATTATTGAATGTTTTTGTTTTGTCTTTTGGATTCTACTTGGTGCAGTGAGTTTCGCAAGATGGCTAAGAAGATATTTATATATTCGAGCGATGAGGTTAAGAAGATGACAACGAAGTTGAAGAGTTCTTCGTCGTTAGAGAATGATCAAAGTATGGATTAATAATAATCGTAATTAGGTGTGAGAATTTAGCTATAAGTTGTAAGGTTATCTCTAGACTCTAGTTTTCAATCTGTGTATGTATAATTTGTATATAAAGTCTTTCATGGGTCTTGTGCCAATTTTCGTGTTGGCGATTTGGTTTGGAACAGTGGTTGATGTGTCGGTTGTTCACATCTTTCTTTGATGTGCTTGTCTTCTGTAACCATTTAGAAGTTTTCAAAACAAAGTACATCATTTACATCAGTAAACACATGGGTGGAAAGATTAAAGAAACTTACATACCCAAATAATCCTAAAAAAATTTAGGATTATGTTATTAAGTTTTTAATAACATAATAAGATAGTTATTACTAATAAGGTGGTTTTCTCTAACTCTTTTTTTTTTTTTTTGAAACACAACTTACTTTTTCATTCATACTTAACTTGTGCAGTTACAATAAAAAGAGGGAATTAAACATCCTCTTAGACTAAAAACATAAACAACTCTAGCAAAATAAGTTAAGATAGATAATTCTTCATGAGAAGATGACAGCGAAATCAAGACAAAGCTTGACTGCGTCGGTAATGCTTTCACGACAAAGTCGGATAGCTGAGAAATAGTCACATGTGACGTTGAAAACCAGCTTTCACCTACGAGAAAAACCGAAGTAATCTCAGTTGCATCTTCAGGCCCCGTACAGACCGCTACACAAGATTGCAAACCGGTGAAGAAACTGAAACTGATACTTGATAATGAAACCAAGGAAACATCTCCTTTCATGGAAAGAAGGTATGGTGATAAAAGGTACTCGGTCGTGAAACCAAGGCCAGGTGAACCCACCTGTAAAATCATCCCACAGGAGAAATATGGAAATAGGCAACGAGAGAAGCTGGAAATCTCGTACACAATAACCCAACCATCAAAAATCAATAAAGATCTGATCATTACTTCAATACTTATGGGCTCTAGAACAATTAAACTTGAACTTCCAGACTTTGTAACACATATGGGCCAGGCCCAATCAAACTGAACAGACAGCTCACACTTTGCTGTCGAACTGGAAAGAAACGCGACGGATCTGGACTGTACCTCGGTATCGGAAGAGAAGACACCGGATAAGCTACGCCGGAGATGAACCGTACAGTCGCTGGAGAGGATACACGCCGGGGAAAATGGCTTCACTTTGAGCAGTGGAGATAATGAAGAGCTGCCGATGAAGTTCGAATCTACTCTCGTGAAACTTGTAGATCTGGTGCTGTATGACTGGAAAGGAGCAAACCACGGTGAGATGTTGGGCTCAGGTCTTCCCAGAGATGGAAAGAGAGAGCTCGTCGGTTGAAAATTGAGCTCCATAGGCGGTTTAATGGCTTGGACAAAGTCGACATCAAGACTTGATCTACAACAGCCAGAGGTAGATCCGACGGGAATACTCGCCGTGAACCTAAACAGAGCGGTGGTGAGAGAGCCCTCTCGACGCATCACCGAATCAGAGACCAATCGGAGTGAAAGAGTCGCCGGAAAGACTACGCCAAAGAACTGTAGCACTCGTCTTCGTGTTGAAGTCCGTTGAGATCTCATTCCTCCGAAAATCAAAGAGAAACATGCCGGAAACCCAGTGAAGAAGAAGTACAGGAGAACAAAGGTAGGAGAGACAAGCAGCGCCGACAAGGGAACCCAGCGCCGGCGAGAAACCGCTTCGCCGGCGCCAGGGAACATGGTTCTTAAGGACGTCTCGGGGTTCGTGTCTGAGAGGCTAGGGCGAACTCGGTTTTCTCTAACTCTATTATCTTCTTTTTCTAACTAAGCATAACTAGAAAAAAAAATTACTAGTTTCTTTAAAAAAAGTCAAGAACTTTTGAAACTCAAAACCATAAAAAAATAGTCTTCATCTTCTTTACTCTCCGATGATTAAGATATGGAAACATAAATGACGACTAAACCCAAAACCTATTTCCGCCATTAAAATGAATTCTTCTTCTCTGCAACAGGCTCATATAGACGCAACACTCGCATCATAGTCGTCATGCTCGAAAACAAACGGATTGATGCTGGGCGAAAAAGAGCTATGGCTTTTTGATTATAATCTGTCAAAACTCAAAAATTATGAGTAAACTTGTTTTTCAGTATTTGGATCTAATTGGTTAATTACTATCATAGTTTTAAGTTCTAGAGATAAAAACTCAAAAAAAAATGAAGATTGAATGAAGAAAATCAAAGGCAGCTCTAGGATTTAGTTGCACGAACGCTAAATACCCTAATAAAAAAATGATTTAATTACAAAATTGCCATTCATTTTTAAAAGTATACAATTATATGTGTACATGTGTACATATGTACAATTATATGTATACACTTTTTATTATTAAAAAAATGTACATTAATTATTATTAAAGTAAAAAAAAAAATTTACATATGTACAATTATATGTGTGTATGTATACATCTTCACATGTGTACGGTACATTGCTTTAATGATATACATTACACAAGTGAAAATATGCACACAAACACATATAAACATGTACACATATACATATTTTCACATATACACATAAATATGTACACATATATGCATTCCAGACCCTCGTTATGCAATTATTTATGCAAATACAATATTAACAATTTAATACTACTTAAATAATCTAAAATTAACTAATTAAGATGTAATAGTAACATTTAAGTGCTTATATTGTACACGTACGTCTATTTCATAGTGGACATATGTACATCAATTTCAAAGTATACTTATGTACACTACATGTGTTCTTTAGATATAAGCAAACAACCACAATTCCTTACAAGATCACAATAAAAACAAAATTACAATAATTTTGAAACACCAAATGTATCTGGTCATATTCTAATACGTCTTACGTTATATCATTGTAATTCTTGTACAAGTGTGGGAACCAAAATTCACACCATCGATTTCCGTGAATAAGGAACTGAGGAAAAACCCTAATTTCCCAGAGGTCCCGGCTATCTTATTAACCACACACAAACAATCAAAACGCGACAAAAGATAGTAATGAAAACGAGAATTGAAAGAGAGCAAAGAAGTTTCTTATTTCAATTTTGCGTAAGAACGGTACAACGAGGTTATCCTTGGCTACAAGAACTATGAGTTTCCTAGATTTAGCAACTTAAGACTAAAACCCTAGTTGAGACGCAGCTCGATAACAAAAATGGAAAATTGCCTAAGTGCTCTAAGTTTGTGTGAAGAGAGTTCTGAATGTCTTTTGCTTTCGTCCTCGACCATCTGCTTATATACTCCTTCTCTAGGCGGTTTGATCTTTCCTTTTCCGCCTTGATTTGCGCTTATTGGAAATCTTCCATTTATCTCGATCTTTCCATTTTTCTTCGGAAAACTTCTATTTATCTTCAATCTCGACATTTATCCACTTCTGTGGATAATAAGCAAACCGTCATTGTATCTTTGGGTTGGACCTTATCCAAAGTCGCGAGTGGGACTTTATCATGTTTTAAGACCTTTCGGGCCGTTTTACGATTTAGCCGTTTTGTGCCTTTATCCGAGATCGTTTCATGATACGATGCCGTTTTGAAGTAAACATCTCGAATTAATCGTATAGTTTGGCAATGTACGGTGTTTCGTTTAACCGTTGCCGTTTTATTCGATTTAATAGAGGTTTACGAGAAAACGCGTCTTTAGTGACTTTTTATAAAAGATCTCGAGTTAATCGCATAGTTTGGCAATGTTTGGTGTTACGTTTAACCGTTGCCGTTTTATACGATTTACTCGAGGTATTACGAGAAAACGCGTCTTTTACGGTTTTTAATAAAAGATCTCGAGTTAATCATATAGTTTGGCAATGTTCGGTGTTTCGTTTAACCGTTGCCGTTTTATACGATTTACTCGAGGTTTTACTAAAAACACGTCTTTAACGGTTTTTATCATAAAACTCAAACGGTGAGGCGGATTGAGACGAAACAAAAGACGTTCTGATCAAGGTTCAGAGTACGATCGAGTCGAGGGATATAGATGTAAGAAATCAGCTTGCCTTTTGGCGAGCTGGACAGATGTGTTCAGCTCGCCAACGGGTGAGCTGGTTACATGTGTGGCCCGCTCGCCAACGGGCGAGCTGGACAGATGTGTTCAGCTCGCCAATGGGCGAGCTGGTCACATGTGTGGTCAGCTCGCCCGTTGGCGAGATGGAGAAGTGCGTTTAGCTCGGTTCCGATCTTTTCTTGTTTTCTCGACCCGAGATCCTTGCGGAGAACGTAAGGAGAAGTGTCCGTAGGTGTTGATTCCTATCTCAACAATAGTTTGAATATCTCGGGGAGTTTGGACGTTAAGGCCGTTTTTGTTAACTTAGCCAATAAAACAATCGCGGATTGTTTTATTCGATTTCCCAACAACTTCCAAGATGATGATTGTTAGTTTTAAGGAAATACTACGTTTGGAGAATCTTTAGATTTGTTCTCGACGTTTTTTCGTGTTTTTAATACTTATTCTTAACTTTGCGGAAAGTTTTAGTTGTTGATTCCGTCGTAACCGATTTTGACCCCAACAGTTAGCCCCCAGCCCGTAAGAATCATAGAGGTCTTGTGAGCGGTTTGAACTTGTACGGAAATTTTGGTAGAAGTAGGCGGAACTTTAACGACTAAAAGTCCAAAAGTGAATAGTAAAAATTGCATATAAATTTGTGGAGTAAGTTTTGAAGTTCTTTATTCACTTTTTCCACATAAATCATCTTTGAGATATAAAAGGTTTCTCTTTTATTTCTTTATCTTTTTTGAGTTTCACCTTTGATACCTTCCACCGTGTTTTCAAAGAGGAGGACTCATTCCGAGACCAGTTCTGAATGTTATGGTTCCGATGGGGCTAGCTCGCAATGCCTTGCCGCAGAGCCGAAGGAAGAGTTTGCGATATCCCTAGTTGATCCTGAGGACCTTGAGGCATATCGAGTGGCCGGAGGTGAAGCGAGGCCCTCCAAACCTGGGACCTGGGTTCCATCTTCATTCTCTCCCGACCATATCGATGGATGTCCAAGTCTGGTATGTCTTAATGGTTTCTTGAGTCCATCCGACGTGTCGGTCGTGTCCCAGATGCGGTGGAGTTTCGTCTCCCGGTGGCTGGGGATGATGAAAACGCACCTGACGGCTACTTCACGTGTTATGATGTGTTCTTGACGCAATGTCATTTGTGGTTCCCGATTCCAGAGGTCCTCGTTCAGTTCCTTCATCGTCTAAAGCTATCAATAAGTCAAATGTCTTTGGGCAGCTTGCGATAACTTGTCAGAATTTTGGTGCTGAGTTATGAGCGAGGCATGACTATCGGGCCCGATCACTTGGAAGGTCTGTTAAAGCTTGAAGGGGATTCAGATAGAATCCGGTTGCGCCACCGTGAAGGTATGGCGATTGTTACCGATTTTACGACAAGGTTTCCTCTTTTGAAGAAGAACTTTTTCTATGTTCGTGTGGATAGTGCGTCGGTGGAGGAGAGCTGCATTTCCCCTTTTCAGGACCAGATGGGGTCAGAAAGGTATCACGACTCAATTGCATTATACTTTTTTTTTTGAAGTTCCAATCTCATTCACTTTGTTCCCCTTTTTTTATAGAGACCAATCCTCTTCCTTCGTGTCCGGAAGGTTTGCTTACTGTTGTAGGCTTGCTTCGAGCCGGGGAATGCTATTGGAGCAGTTTTTCTCCAAGGCATGTCCGTCATGCAGTTGCCCTCCATCGATCCCGGTTTCTACCGACCTCGTCGGTCCCCGAAGAAGGAGCATGTACGGGAAGTTTTGTCCCATACGAATCTCCGGTGAGGCGGGATAGATCGAAGTCTCGGAAAGCAAAACATGTGGTGATTGATGACGATGCGTCCAACGATGCTGATCCTGACAACATACTCAAAGATTTCCTTGATAGTCAGACGGATGGGAGCAAACAGATTTACACCTACGGCTCCCCAAATCTTAATTTTTCGGATGGAAACCCTTGTGGCATTCCGGAATTCGTCAAAGCATCAGAGCGATTTAATCAGGTTAGTCTTTTGTTCATTGTTTTCAGAAACGGGAATTTTGTTTAATTTCGTCGTTTTTCCCTTTTGTAGAGTCTTCTCATTTTGAGCCATGCTCTTAACGTGTGTGACACCGAGGCCCGTCTTGCCTAGTTCCATGCGGATCTGGCAGAGAAGGAGATTGCTCGTATCAAAGAGGTGATTGAAACTGATTCCTCTTTTGCTCAAGAGTTGGCCGAAAGGGAGGTTGCCCGTGTGCGGGAGGAGTATGAGGCTAATTCTCGCCGTATTATGGAACTTTCTGAGAAAAAAGTTTGTCGTACTCGCAGAGAGGGCAAGAGAGCGATGGTTGAGGAGATGGGGACTCGCCGCGAACAGTTTGCGATCCATTATTCGGGAATTAAGGATGCGCAGAGAGCCGATGGCGATTATCGTGAGTGTCGCGGTGTGGTTGGCAGATTACACCTTTCTCAACACGCGGAATTCTTGTTTGAGAGGGAGTATGCAAAGAAAAAAGCGCGCTTGGATAGGAAGGAGAGGAAGCATGCCGAACTCTTGGACCTCGAGGCGCGAGTGTGGGCACAGTGGGATTCTATTGCGGTGTCGTCGGACACGACTGAAGCTGACACGGAGATCCCAGACGAAGGGGTCGAGGTTGATCAGCCGGACGCTGATGCGAATGATGGACAATATTCATCGCCTGGGTTTTATAACTTTGACGATTGATGTTTATTGTAGTGTGATTGTTTGTAATATATTTGTCGGGACTGGCCGTTGGTGGCTTTGAATCCCTGCCGTTGGGCGACATGTATCGAATGAT